GCCTTAGGAAATTCATACAAGTACTAAGCAATTCTATAGCTATGACTTCTACCAAGATGATGATTCTCTGCTGTCTGTGAATACTACGCTTTATTGGTAGCTGCAAGGGCAATGCTATGTTCCCTACATTAAATATATGGAGACTATTTAATACACAGTAATGGGTGATACAAAGAAATATTTTTGTTAGTTGCGATATTCTGCTCTTTTTTATTATATGTAGGTAGAAAAGTAACCTCATACCTTGCAATAGAAAGCAGCATGTCCTTTCACATAAGCAAAACCCCTCTGATATTATCACTAACATGACATTTGCAAGCCAGCTAGCCAAGGTATTTTATGAACTTTTGTTGTTTATAAACACAAAATGGCATTTTTCCCTGCAAGTTAGCAGTACTATCAAGTACAACTTAAGGAAGCAGTGTTAATGAACTTTCAAGCACCATGGTAATTCTAAGCTACCTACCTAGAAACAAGAACAACGAAACGCATTCAAATGACAAAGGAAATTGTCGTGTTATCTTTGGACTATCTGCTATGAGAGCAGCCACACTTTGAAGGCTTACTTAAGAAAAGAAGAAGCTTAAAGACAGACCTTTCCTCTTCAAGCCCAACAACAGGAGCTCACACAAGACTACCCATCTCACCAGTGCTAAATGAAGCCACATTTAACAGATCTAGACCAGCTCATGTGCAGGAAGTGGTGAGAACATTTGCTTGAACTTTAAATCACCAAGACTCCTCAAAACAGGTAACCACAAATATCTAGAGTTGAAGCCATCAGCAAAATAAATTTACACATCCTTAAAGAGGCTGCTGCATAGCAGCAAATCTTTTTTTTTCTTCCTACCTGAAGGTGAGCTGCACAGTAGAATTTTCAGTTTGCTAATAGAAAATAGACCTTATTTACAAGGAGCACCTCAAGATGGTGTGTGTGTGCGTGCAGTTCTCTACTGTGATAAAGTTGCTTTGGAATGGTGGTTAACTGGAATTAGTGATCTAAATCTAGCCTCTCCACAGAGCTCTAGGGGATAGCACAACTTTACATTGTGGAAAAGCAAACACCATATATTTAAAAAATTCCAACGCTACTTCTTTAAATTATTTGCTAATCTGGCTTATGAGAAGTGGAAGCTTTTTAGTGTTATCAGCTTAGAAAAATAACACACATTTGGTCCCAGTTACTTTCTCACGGAAGCTTCAAGTCACACTTCCACATTTGATACTGCATCACAAAATTTGCGTCGCAAACCCTGCAAGCACAATTTAGTAAACATCATGAATACACTTTTATTGAGCTAAGATGTTAGGAAACTGACTAGGTTTAAATAAAATTCTGAATTTTGGGTCTAACCCACTTGACAGCTTAGCTTTCAATTGAATAGCTAGGCACTGTTTTTCACTTCTCTTCATTTCTCTTCATTTGCAAACATCCCTTTTAAGAGCCTAAACGACATGGCAAGGGTTTTTTTTTTGGTCTTCCTCTACAGCTTCAGTAAAACTGAAATTGATACAGTCAGTGCCTGACAGTTTTGGCTTTAATCATAATTTACACTCAAAGAGCCTGTTTACTTGATAATAATAAAAATAATAATTTGAGCCTGCTGATTTGGGGCTAATTTTTCCTATTCCACTATCACTGCAATACTGAGAGGGGGCAAAAAGTATCAAGTTACTGATGGAGATACTGTCTTAACACTTTCACGCTGCGTTAGAATTTGAAGCGGCCCTTAAAAATCTCTTAAACATCTCCATTCCTCAGCACTCCCAAGTTTTATTTGTAACTGTTTTTAGCGGCCTTGTAGTAAAGATAACTAGCCTGGTATTGCTTTTGCTTCTTTATCTTTAAAATGGGGATACCACCAACTTTTTCATAGACATTATGAAGCATAACCATCTTCAAGTACTTCACATCAAGTGAAAGATGTTTTCCTATATTAACAACGATATTTTTTCCACTGGCAGCATCGCTAGTTTTGGTCAGACAAAAAACCAAGGCGTGTTCATGAGTACCTCCTCTTGCCCTCCAAAACTATTAAGCTATCTGACAACAAAGTCATAAAACACTCACTATCCAGAGTCCTGAGCATCTTATTTCACACAGCAGTTTTCTGTATTTTAGAATTAGGAGCTAGACTCACCATAAATCCACCGTCCAATTTAACTAGCCCCAGAACCAGGACAAAACTCAGTCTGTAACTGGACAAGCACCTGCTTCAAATTTCATCTCTGCATTGCAGCTTCTGCATCCACCTCCCGATCAACTCTCACGTAAACCGAGAGGGCTTACACCGAAAACGCATCAACACTAGCTGGGCTCTGGCGGCCTCCTGCGGCAAATAGGAGGACAACGGTAAACAAAGGCCTAGCTGCTACTCTGCTTTGTGGTTGTGTGGGGTTTTGTTGTCGTTGTTTTTAAAAGGTTTCATTTTGTTTCCTTAACTTTTAGTAGGGAATTTCACATAACCAATAAAAGCACCCATTCTCCACACAGGCAGTAATTTCCAGGGACAAACCAAGGTCTCTTGAGTTTGCACTAATGCCTATGATCCTGCACACTGGGTCAGAAAAGTATATCCTCAAAATACCCCAAAACAAATGCTTTATTGCTTTGCATAAATGGAGTGTTAAGTGCTCCTGAATATTCTGTTCGAGGATAAAGTCTTAGTACTACAGATTCATGGCAGGTTACACTATATAAAGTGATCACAGATTAATGCTTTCATGTTAAAAGACATACGTATAAAGGGACAGATGTGAATATGCATTAATGCTTCCCAGATCCCTACTCAAGTTTATTAACCATGTAGAATGTTTAGTAAGAAATAAAAACTGCCTAGAGCAATTCGGGAAATAGTCTCTCATCAGCCTGCCAAAATCCTTTAAAAAGCTACTTCATTTCACGACATACAAAGTACATACTTCACCTCTCTTACCTAACACAAAGCCTCAAAGCTTTAAAATTACACTTGACCTTAAAATCTAGAACTGAATGCAACTTAACAGAAATACAGTAGGAAAGCTGGAACTTTAATCCTCTAGGACTAAAAGAATTATTAACCTGCTTATCATGAGAAAAAGAATGCAAGTATCAGAGTGTCGCATTTGTAAAGACCATCTAGTCAAGGACAATACAAAACTGTCTAGAAACTTGTGCAAATTGAGTAGCTGCTATTATGAACATATTCAAAATAGAGCTAGTTTGTTGTCTCCAGTTTAGGAGCAGGTATTTGAAGGTACTACCTGTCAACAGTCAAAGGCATTTTATATTCCATAACTCATTGATGGTAGTTTTCTTGCACAAGTCTCCTACAAAAATGAGGAGGAGGTAGAAGAGTTACTGTGTAGAGGAGACAGTTAATTAGAACCAATGGGTCTTTAAGACATTATAAAAAGGTATTTCAGAATAATTTCAGGGTCACAGTAAGGTTATTCTAAAAGTTAAATCTAAATTACCACATATTTACTATTTCAAAAAAAATCTAATTTAGTTAAGAATCATCCTTTTCTATTTAAAAAGCAAATCAAACTCTTTTACAACTTAGGCTCGTTTCGATCTCAGGCCCCTTCCTGTGGTGCAGTATCTTACACATATACAGAAAATTCAACACTTTCATTTCCCCCATTCAATTCAGATAGGATATACCTACACAGATAGGACATCCTCCTCATCTGTGAGCTGCTACTTTCTGCTGATGAGCCGGATCATAGGCGAGAGATGTCTAGAACCAAACTATGTAAGATGATTTTGTCAGTGCTTTCAAAACCTGGTACATTGGCATATAATAGTATTTTATAGGTTTTATAGTACTGACAGAATTGGGCTACCAATCATTAAAGTAGAGAAACAAACAATACACAAAAACAAAACAAAAAAAAAGAAAATAAAAAGACATATCCCCCAACCAAAAAGCTAACATTTTTCTAGGCATGCGTTACTGTGCTTAGGAGTTAAGGATCATCATTTCTAAAAATAATCAATCAGAAGGCAGCTCTGATGTAGACAGCAATTTTTACACTGAAGTGCCAAGCACAAGCCATTGCTCTCACACTCATGCAATTACTTTTGAGCATGGCTATCCACAACACTAGTGTACGCAGTACTTCCAGTAGCACTTCTACTATACTCAAGATACCCTTAGAATAAGGAGCATTTCTTGCCTCACTCCAACTTGCTGTTTTGAGCCACACAAAACTACAGATCCCAGTTTATGCAAAGGTGCTACAAACCTAGACCAGTGGACAGAATTTGCACTGATAGTTCTTTAAATATAAAGGTTGGTGAAAACATACATACAGAATCAGCTCCGCCGGCACGCCAATCCTCATTTCCAGTTATAGTTAGATACTAGGGATATTCATCTTTGTCCTCTTCTCCTCTACCATTATTACACAAGATTCATTTACTTCAAGCTGACTAAGACATGGTGAAATCTCAAGAATTGAGTATATAACTTGTGCATCTTCCCATTCTTCACTAATCTTAATTTTTGATTATTTAAATTTGCAGACGCATGGACAGGCTGCTATTTTTGAAGTATGTGCTGCCTTTTCTGCGGACAGACCCTTTGTTTGGAAGTAACAGCATATACTGCATTATTGGAACCAGCAGAATTCTCTGCACTGTCTTCTGGCATTCACATATGGAGACCACTTCTGATCAAATTCATCTTTCTTGAAGTCTAAAAGTAGTCTATCGATAAGTCAAATACGAATGGGCTTCAAAAGTTTTACTTAAAGATCATTTGCACATGGAGCAGGTGGGCTTAAGTCCTCCCCAAACTTGATTTAGCTGCATGGAGTTATGGATGCTACACTTTCTGTATGAGGAAATTGATGTTATATTGCCAAAAGTTTCTAGAAAGTTCAGAACAAATGAGATGCCCCCTTCTTCTGAGCAACCCTGTTCATATAAAAAGAAAAATCACCAAAAATTCAACGTCTACCACACTACAAATACAATATCATAATCTCAGAAATTACAATTTTAGGCAAGGAAGTCACCATGAACAAGTATTTAATTTTAGATCTTTTATGAGCAAAGATGTTTTAATGTGTTGCATTTCAAGTGCATCAATCTTTCTTTACAAGAAAAGAAAGAAAATCACATCACAGATTTGAAGCTAGAGAGGTCCACAAGAGTTGGCGCAAATTAAAAGTGCCTGGAATATACGCATCAACCTTCAAATAGAACGTACTTTGCAATAGGATTGAGAACACAGTAAGTGTTAAGCAATATTTAGAATTAAAAGTACCTGAAAAAAAAATCTCTCCTTGGAGAGACAGAGATACTAACTCCAAACATCCTCCTGGACAGCTGTGCAAGATCTCAACAAATGCTTTTCTGTACAAGTGGTTGAAAAAACAAACACACACATGACACAGCAAGTTCTGGAATATCAAAACAATGAATTGATAGAACATTCTTATGTGTCTGTACAGTAATCTCAACTCCATATTATTTTACTACCAACAGTTATCATAGCCTAAGGCCTAGGCAGTGGTGCTCAAGTTTCATGGCTTCATCCATGCAACATTCTCTCTTAAGAGATCAAACTTTAGTTCTTGTACTGAAGTCCAAAAGGGTGAACGTGAACAAATTCAGTAGTTTTCTCAGCTCTGAACCCTTCCCTCACATGTAACCTAACTTATTCAAATTTCAGATATTAAGTAGTAGATTTATCAAAAAGACAGAGGCCAAATGCAAAAAGTGCAGTCAAAAGCTACATCACAGGTAGGAAGACTAGTGGTTGAAAAACGGGCTAAGCATCTTTGAAGGCAAAAGTTTCCAACACCACTGCTATAAAAAAAGAGGAAGATTATTAGAATGAAACGATGAAAAATGCAATTGTCATTAATACTGTTTTGTGATTCAATACAGAATATAGCAAAATAGGTTTATTTATGCAGTGATGAGGGAAACCTGAAAGAAACTTATCACCTGTCCCTCAAGAGCTCAAGTCCAGAAATCAAGAGTGTAAAACATAGGTTTTCCCCATCTTAAACAACAGTTTTATTTTCAAAGTGAGTGTACCATTCGGCAGTATTCTCTAAAATCAGAATCATCTTTGCATCTTAATGAAGGAGTGTGCGTTGAAAATCTGATAGCAAAAAAATTGAGCAGAAAAAAAACCAAATCACATAAAAATTTACTATCTGGAGCAACACACTGAACAGTAACCAAATTAAGACAAAAAGGGTAGAGTTTTTTCTTTTACCTCCTGAGTTGCATATGGAGCCTATTCTTTAACTATTCTGTGACTATTAGAAATAGGCAAGACTGTCACTAGATTGGTTATTAGCAGTTATCTGACCAGAGCGTAACAGGTCTGAAGGGAAAAGAAGCTTAGTACGTAATAAATCAATGCATCATTTTTCCTATGAATAGTTAGGAAGTTACATTTTCCTCTCCTCCGTTCAATATGCAACAAGCCTGATTAAACTAAGAGGATATTATGTCTATTTATAGCCAGATACATATTTAAAGTACCATTAACTCATTTGCCTCCATCACCATGCATCCACTTAAATCATAAATGCAGTAGTATGTTCTACTACTTCTACTCAGAAGCGTCTTGAAAAAAAGTCAATGACATCATGGAACAATAGTGTTGTTCCAGCAATTTCTGATCATTAAATGACTGAGCTTTATACAGGATATTGTGTACAATTCGACCAAAATAATCAAGTTCTTTCTGAAAAATCTTAACACTAACATGGCAGCACCAAAATGGCATTGCAGGCTCAAATCTGTTTGATACATATGTAACACCCGTTCACAATGACAGAACAGCATGTACGCTTCCAGAAATACCTTCCTATCTACCTCCATTTTGTCACACTTGGGGCTTCCTGACTTTTGCCAGTAAAGTTACTTCCATGTCCATGTACATAAACTTCACAAATATTGAATAGACTCTTGTGGAGATAAAATATCATAAATTTACATGGATCCTAGATGGACACCGGGTCCCGACAAGCATACCTATAAATCTGCTTGGGGCGAGTTACTTTACTAGGAACCTCTTAAGTTGTTCTTGAATCTCCTGATCAAACTTAAGTCTTCTTGGTCCCTCACCCTGAAAACAACTTCCCATCCATCAAGGCAACGGACGTTAGAATGACAAAAGTGCAAAAGACTCTTCTAAAACATAGGTTCCTCTTGTGAAAAAAATATTTCAAAGAGTCTATAGAAAGTGCAACCTTTCATTCCAGGAAGCTAGCTGCTGCCATGCCTCGGTAACACGGCTGCTCAGGGCAGAACCAAGGGTGAACCTAGACTCTAGTAGAGGAGTCCAGAACCCAGCTTAAATGCTTAACAGAGACCTTGACCAATAAATCAGTTTTACCATCACATCAGAAGGGTCCAAATATAATCACAACTCAACCTCAACATTCTTATCAGAAAGAATAATCGAGTAAATCTATACTGACCAAGTGAGTTAATTCTGGTAACAGAGTGACTGCCTTTACTGACTACACTTTGCAGGCTAAACTATCTGGATAACCACATATTCTCCTGTGCATTGTTTTTCTTTTTGCCCTACAAGTTATCTGAAAATTAAAAGCGACACAAGCAATATGTACATACAGGCTATAATTTCAGAAATTCTTTAGCTTCTGCCCACTAGAACGCGATTGGAATAATTGTCATGTCTTGACGTCTGCTTAGGGACACATGTGACAGGTAAAATAATGCTTATGATCTACAGGTATCCTATCCAACAACTTTCTTCCTAGTCGCCATTACTGGTGAAGCGCACCTTTGCCAAATGAACTATTTACAAATGTAAACTATGCAATTTTAAAATAAATAGACAATTTTTACATTATATAGCAACTTGACAACAAGGCAATAGACTATCCAATCATTACTGGCTCACTTAATCTATTCTGCAAGATCTTTCTTGCTTTTTTCCTTTACACTGGATAATTGTGTAAAAACTCCTTAAGCTTTGTTGGATAGTCTGTCATCACTCCAGTGGCTCCCAGATCAAATGCCCTCTTGTATTCTTGTTCTTCATTCAGTACCCAAATATACACCTATAAGATTGAAGAGAACAGAAAGACAGACAAATTATTACAGGAAAGATTCAGATTAAAAGTGAGATAAATTCTGACCTAAATTGTTTCATATGAGAGAGATGATGCCATATATAAAATGATTACACTGTCATGCCAGAGACACATACAAAAAGCACCCAACTGCTTATCCCTCCCCCACAAGGCATTTTAGTGATAACTCCAACTTCAGTTTGTGCCCTAGTCTTCAGATAACTCCAGAAGTCAAAATATTCAGTGGAAAGCCCAAAACAGGATGAGCAGTTTATCAGATTTTGTAGGCTTATACTTCAAAGGAGGGGGAGAGGGGAGAGAGCTCTTAAAGAGAGCTAAATTAAGGAGCCGTTTCATAGCTCTTCCCTTGCAACTACCGAACTGCAATTATAGCAGCATAAGCTATTATTCAAGAACCAAAAAGCAGCTATGAACCTAGCAACACAGCAGAATGTTTTAGAATACAGGCCATCTATCCAGCATAAACAACTTTAAAAACAAACAAACAAACAAAAAAAATCACCCTCAGCAGTGAACAGCTGAGTAGACCTAAAATTCTTCCAGGTAGATCTTAAATGCTTTCAGTAACAAAGGTGAAGAAATATATTTTAAATGAACCATCTCAGCAAATTATATTAATCCTGACTTTGCCCTTTGCACTGAGCTTTCTGAGAGTTTATTCGCAAATCCATAAAAAAACCTTATTAAAACATCAAATAAGAACCCCCTTCCAATAACTTGCAAAAATAACTATCAAATGCAACGGTAACAACTACCAAGGCCATAAGGCTCTGAAGAAACATAATGCTCATAGAAAAAGGGCAGAGAACACTAATCCATCTTAAGGGCAGATCCGGCTCGTTCAAGCTCTCACTAGCTACCAAGCAGATTTACTTATAGTTTTGCCACGCTGTACCTGAATGCCCCGTGCAGTGAGGTGGTCAAAAAGTGCCTTCCGCATTAACAATCTGTAGAAAAGAGAAAGATATCATTTGCCCAAAAACAGTGTATATGACGTTTTCAGTATCTGTTGATGTAATATCAGTATCTGTAATAAGTGCTCCACAGAACGTTTAAATTCAATGGTGTCCACAATAAAGAACATAAAACATAAGTTAAAACATAGGTAGCATTGAATTGTATTTGAATGAAACTTAACACAGATATCCAGAAATTTGTATTAGCTGTGGATATTCACATTAATTTGTCTGAAGATCAAATCCAGCAAGTGTTTTTTCTTCACCATTAAGTTACTCTTTCTCATGTCTGATGGATCAAATCCTTTACTTCAGAAGAGATTTTCTCCTTCATACACCCAGGAACATGAGAACTCTTGCTAAATGGCCACTCAAGAAATCAAACCAACTGCCAAAAGTCACAGAAGCAAGAACCAGAAGACACTTATTGTGATCAAGTTCAACCTCTGAAAGCATAAGACTGTATTTCTGCTGAATCACAGGTACTCTTAGAAACGTTCCATGTAAGCCAAACAGTACCTTCTTTGACAGTATTATGAAACAATCCCATGAAATGGGAAAGCCACATTCTGAATCTACTTACATATTGATTAATTGAACACACTGAATGACAGAAAATACATTAATTCAACAGTATTTTAGGTCATAAATAGGAACATTGACCACTGCTACTGCACCTCAGTACGTTTCAGTGTATAAAAATATATGCACACAGGAACACCTACACAAACTTTGAATATGCTGCATTGACAAAAAATAGAAGAAAAAGAAATTACAGTGTAACAAGCTGTTATGGCAATAACTGATCTTAGTTGCTTGGGTCAACTATCAACATAGAGGCAAAATATAAATAAAAAATTAGTAAGATGAAAATCTTACGTGTCAGCTAGCCAGATAATAAATTTCTGGCTTCTTGTCATCTTTTGTGGTTCTTTCAGCCTATTGAAGAAAAAAAAAGAAAAACACTGCAGCACAGACCAAAATACTCTTTGACATATTTCTGCAAAAGAAATGTGAAAAATTAGTCTTGTAGTTTCTCAAATCAGAGAGTAATATATTTCACAGAGTAATATTTTCCCTTTGGCTTCGAGACAGTGACCTAGAATTGGGTTACACAAGAGAAATGCGTTACACTAAAGAGAATTGGCAGAGGTGGGTATTCAGCAGCATTTTGAGCAAGGTATGAAAAACAAAGGGCACCTGAAATCTCTCACCTGCTGTGATACTAACTTGCCTCTTGGCCTTAATCAGATTAATATGGCCCCAGTTTCCACACCGGAGAAAGAGAGGGAAAGGTGTGAAAATTAGTTATTCATACAGCACTGCTACTTATTACTACCGAGATGGCATCAGCACAAGCTTTGTTGTAAAGGCAGCTGCTTTCCCCTATGAAAGACACTATAAACAGGAAACAGATTGATATATAGGTAACCCACACAAACTGCGTAATTCAAAGCTGCCCGGGACAGGTTAAATACAGAGGAACAGAAGTTTTGCATAGCTCTCATTTAAGAGTATACAAGAGTACATAAACTAACAAAAAGAAATAGTTACTAATCTTTTGGGATATCTATCAAGGTGTTAAGCACTTGCTTTATAATTTCTTTTCTACCTAAAGCGCTTCAACTCAAATGGACCGACTTCTTCCTCTGAAACACAAGAATCACTAAAAAGCTTTTAATACAATGCAATGAAACTATCTGAACACTGAGAACAATTGGGGAATTGTAAAGCCAGTTACTCAAATAAGCCTTGAGACCCCTCCCCGCCTTAAGCTTGCGAGAAGTGGAAACTTTAATCACCAGAAATGACTGGGAATCTCATACTACTTCAGACTGCAGGCAAAACAATACTTCAACACAACTTTACTACACTATCATAAAGCCAGAATGTACTATATCACTATCTACTTTAGTGTTCAGTTTCTCTTGGAAACGTTTCATTCCACTACACATGCAGCTTAAGGACACTGACTAAATCAGCGCTCAAGCTGGCAATAGCGTTCACTTGTATTACTATCGTTTCACTGCGACACCCACCGAAGGACTAACTCACTTGAGGATGATTGAAGGCATTGGAATTTCCAAGAATTCTTCCTTGAAAGGAATAAATGGCAGCAGACCAGTGTAGAACAGGCCAACAAGGAGGAGGACACGTTGCAAACAGAAGATGATGGGAATGTCAGCGTTCTGTAGAAAGTAGTAGAGAAAGATTCTAATTTACCTGGGTAGACTGTTGAGTCTGTTGTAAGCAAACTTACTCATGAATGCATGTTTAAAATATAGCACTTATACCTAAAGAATAAGCTGTCAACTGTTTGTGTCTGCCACTGAATTTAAATTACTCTTCCTGGTAACTTGTAATCCAAGCCAACGTTTTACACAATTTGAAGGGGCAGCAGTGACCTGAAAAGGTAAAACGTCAGCGATTCTGGTACTGCTTTTGTTACCTGCCTTCGTCATCATTTCAGACTGCATGACACAATGAGTATTTTGTCTTTGACTAGCATTACCACGGAGAAAAGGGTGGTCAAGCTGTGTTTTAATCTGTTTGGAACTTGTTGCAGTTTGATATTGTATCAACTTGCTTCAAAACGCCTTTTAAAATATGTTAGTTTATGAACCAAAATATTTGGGCACTGATGCCAGGAAAAATAAAGAAATACAACTGCTCTTAAGGTAGGAAATGGTGTTGTCCTGTTTCAAAGCACAGATAAATAAGTACAATGTCTATACTCTCAACTAGATCAGTATCACTTAGGTGCATAATTCCCTTGGACTAAGCACAATTTGAATTCCAAATTGTACAATTCCTTGCCACAAAAAGGAATAGAATTTATAGCTGTAAATCAGCTTTATACCAATAGAACTGTATGATAGCTAATGGCCACCTTCATTATTTTAATAAAAAACACACAGTAAGCAATCTGTAACAAAACTGCTTTTGCACCAGATGAATGATGTGCGACGTACAAAACAGGCTTTATGTTTTGATGCCAGTGACTCCTAAGACTCCATATATTACAGAAGTATAAAACAAAACTCAGCTTTTCTCCTTAAATATTTATTGTAGAGTATATGAGTGTTAAGTACGCTTGACCTTAATGATGTAGTAAGCAGAAAACAATTCAGGTGCAAACTCCAGACCACAGCTAAAAGCCTGGCATAGCTCACCATGCTCATTGGCATACCTCATCTTGATTTACAGGTTACTTTTCTGTACATGTCACCATACAGTGAAACAGAGGGCAAGAACAACAAAGCCGGGACACCCATTCTTACCTCCTTATGACATTTTGATACAACCTCATAATTGGCATTCCCCCATACAGTCAAGTGTTCTCGCTTATACTGACTCACCAGCTCTGAAACCTGCAATGTAAAATCAAAAAAGTAGAACCCTAACATGCATTCATTGAATATTATTTTGTGCAGAATTACTTAACCGAAGCTCCATTTGCTACTTTTCAGCTATACGAGTCATTAGAGAAAAGATAGTTCTTCTACATTCTCTCTCATCTTAAAATGATTGTGTTACTCTGAATAGGAGGAAACAGGTGTTCAGTAGAACAGAAAGGGAAATAGCATTATACCTACAAGAAAAACTAGAGAATTTAAAAAAGCAAAACGGCAAAGTAGTATCTGATGGAAAGCAGACTTCTTCTGTGATGAACACTTATCTGTATACTGGTGTCACCCATTTATGATGCATTTGTAGGCAAAAGAATCTGTAAGACTCTTCATATTAAACATAAAACAAAGACGTCCCTAGCAACGTGCCATCCCTTCATCTGTTTCATGCTGAGTTAGGGAGTTAATTACGAGCCGTTTGCAGACCACTGTACTAGTTCTCTTCTCCGTCTTCTGCATTACCTAACACACGGAGCAAGATCCAACAGGTGAAGGATGAGAGTCCAAGGACACAGATTTTAGTGTCTCAGACTGTGAGTAACTTGAGAAAGTCCTTATTGTCGGCATTTCAACACCTCCACGTGACATTCAGCCTCAGTTCAGTGTAGTTTATCACATACCTTTTTGATCAACACATTGTTGTTCATTTTGATGTCAATGTTGACAGGAGTTTGTGGAAACGCCTCAAACACCTCTTTCAGGAGTGGAATACGGTTATCTTTACCCTCACAGTGGCATTCTGGGGGAAACAAAGAGAAAGCTGTCACGGCTGTGATCATTATTAACATACTGTAGAGAAGAGCTAAGTTATTAGAGCACTTTTTATTTTAAAGTAAAAAAACCCCTACAATTAGCATATTTTTGAGCCGGAAAGAATTTACTTCACTTGTATGGTTGTAATTAACTGTGACAAGCTCACCTCAGTAATGAAAACTGACTGATCATTTTGCGCATTTAGGTTCAAACTTGAAACTCAGTCATTATTTAATAGCAGTATCAGTGCAGGCATCATTAAAATCCTGAACGAGCAAACACAGGCTCAGTTACCACATACCAAATGCAATGAGATTAATAGGAAATGAGATCAGCTGATAAAAGAAACTTTTCCTTTTAGTTTACTGGAGAAGCCTAATGAATAAAGGTAACAGAAGACAGAAATCCCAAATTTTAGTGTCTCAAACTGCTTGTGGATCTAAGGAGTTAGCTGAACCCTCTCCCCACTTCTTCATTACTGTACATAAAGATTTATAAGCAAAGATATCATATCATAGAGGTAAACTCAGTGCCCCCCCTCCTTTTTTTTTTTTTTTTTTTTAAAAAGGTGCTTTGCAATTTTGAACAGAGACATTTAAAGCAAAATTATCTTGCCGGACAACTCAAATATGGAAGGATTATTCAAGACAGTCACAAAGCCCTTCAGCCACATACATCTGATATAATCTCCAGTAGCCTTTTCAAAGTGGAATAACTCAATCTTAGCTTGTAGGCTTTATTCAGATATGGTTTCAAGAGTCACAATTTTCACAAGACCACCATTTTCTAGGTCTTCCTCTCCTGCAGCAATATTCACACTGATCTTTAAGCCATGTGTACTGTAACTATTACTCTCTTCATTCATCCTTCCGGAAATACCTACATTGTCTGACATCTTGTGGTACTTCAAGAACAGAGTGCACCAGAACAACGGCACTTGAGCAGTAAAGTAAATGCCTTCATTAATTTTCATACCAGTGAATTTTAAATCAGTACCCTCTGAAGAGCTCACAAGGGAACTAGAAAGCAGTTGCAAGAAGTAGATAAGCAAACAACTGAAATATTCACTTGGAAAAAAAAAAAAAAAGTCTTACATTTTAAATTTATTCACCATCTATTGATATGAAAAAAATATAATCCTAGCCTTAGAAAACATAATAAAAGAAGCTTTAAGAGAAAAAAATGTTAAGATACTGACAGAAGCAAGTCCTCACTTTTCTGTTCTCTCTGATGAAGGGAGAAATTGCCACACTACAACTACAGAAAAGTAGTTACTGTTACTGTAAATTGAAGCAGCAAGAGTCAAGAACTTACCTTTCTGAAATGTGACACCCAATTTGCAGAGATATGGTGGAAGTTCCTTAAAAATAAAGGGAAAAGGAACTCTAATTCAAATGCAGTGACATAATCATGAATTTCCTCAAAAAAGACAAAAAAAATTATGACTCATAAGCCATATATGTTATCTTTAAAGACAAAAATGATATTTTGTATATGTTTCTAGGCTTCTTGCCTAAAAAGCGATTTTGTGAACATTCTGTTCCTTCTTGCTTGAACTGTTTGGCATTCTTAGTCCTGCGTTACCTACAGCTAAATAAGATAAAGAATGTTTTCAGATGCCTGTCTGAAAAACATTGATAAGTCTACTAAAATAGCAGGTGGAAAGAGTTCTGCAAAGCAGGCTTTTAAAGCTGTCACTGCAGGTGGGATTCATCTACCAGTTTTACCCATTATAAAGGTAGTCACACAAGAACAAGCTGATTGACTAAGCTTTCTGTGTCATCAGTATGGCCAAACAGGCACACCTCCAGAAGGTCATTCATCCAAGCTACTATGGGATAGAGTTAATCACCCTCTGGAAGCGTGCCTATTTTCCTCCCTTGACTACACAAGGAGCCTAGACAACTTTGTCAGACAAGATAAATACTCTTCTTATAGTCCGGATACTAAACACACACACACACAGCGCCTCCCCTCAGCCATTCTACAAACACATTTTTACCCATCATCCCGCAATGACATTTTTCTCTTCAACTTACAGAGTATTTGAGGTCCGATATATTGACATCAACTCCTGTTGATCTCTTCAGGTTCTCATCATGCGACACAACCACTTGCTCATCTTTTGTCAGGTGACAATCTAGCTCCAACATGTCTGTTCCTATATTAACCGCACTGAAAGTGAAGAGGTCTGCCTTAAACCACCCATGCATTTTGTACAGGTTCAAGCCTAACACATACATGTTATTTAATTAAATTAATCCCAGGGAAAGCACTTTAGATGCCTTATGATGCAATGAACCCTCACACCTTGTTTTAAGGCAAGAAGCAAATAATCTCTGTTGCAGTGAAAAGCTGATGCAAGAACAAACAAGATACTGTGAATCAGAGATGGGATTTGAACTCGGGAGCCTTGGCTCTGTCTTTACAGAAATCAAGCAGTACTTCTGTCTGTCAGTCTACTATCTCACTATGAGAAACTTAGTATTGTTTCAGAATTTTTGGAGCACGATGCTTATTAGCACATTTACCACTAGAAGAAACAAGTTTTTTAGAGAGCTAATCAATTCCATAGTAGGTATAAACAAAAAAATGACAAGGATGTCAAAGGCTTTCATGTTTTGGAGTTTTTTTTTTTTTAATGTTACTTAAATTAGTAGGCTTAGGAAATTAGCAGTGGGGCATTCAGGCTTTTGGCTTTTTTAGCTAGCAAAACTACATGTATCTTTATATATTAATGTATATATACTTATATACATATGTGTTTATGCCTCTTATATGAGAAAATGTTTGTAATTTTACATTAAAAATCACTAAAAAGTGCAATCATGTTTTTAAAAACAATGCAGCAGAATTAGCTATAAATGTTCCAATCCACTGCTTTGAAAAGTCTCAATCCAGTACCAAGTCCAGTCTATAACAGCTTACTTAGCAGCAAGAGGGGTATGGAAAGGAAAGCAGAAAGCAGGTATAATACTGCTGAAAGAGAAACACAGGAAACTCCACCCCCTCACCCTCCAAAAAACAAACAAACAAGCAAACAAACCAAAAAAACACTTTATCCCAATGAAAAGTGAAGTCCCAGCCTCGATCTTGAACACTCTTCTTCTATAACACCGGGCTCCTCTTTTTATCCACCTAAGAACTAATCTTTGATATCCGCCAGTACCATCTATACCAGTGATTTCAACTTATCTTGCTAACAAATTTGACAATTCGCCAGGCTGTTTCTAATAGCAGTTGCTAATAGGCTTCCTTAAATTGTCAAGTTTTTTCAGCTGGCAATCAGTTTGTTCTGCAGCATTGTAATAACATATCAAATCCACATCACTCCAGAGAAGACTCCAGATTCCTAAAAATACAAGCCTTTAAACAGAGTGCTGAGCCTATCACTTCAGAATTCAAGTTGTAAAGCAGATTCACATTGGCAATTCAGGATGTGATATCTCTCCATTTGTGTTTAGCTCCAACTGTTTCCAGGTAACAGGAAATAAATAAGAAAAGCCATACCTTGGAAATCCATTCCCACTAGCCATGGTCTAATATAGCACAATACACATAGTTTATAAATTCTAAAGCTAACCAAGTACTTTTATTGCTGTAACTGCACTGAATTTTTTTAAAGCTTTCTTTCTTAACCAAGCATATTCATATAAGAAATGGAAATCCAGTAAAATAAGAAAACATCTTGAGTTTACTTTGCTGCTTCCTGTCAAAACAATGCTAAACTACATGTTTGTATTAAACAATACAATCAAACTTATATTTAGATTATTATGGCATCTTTAAAGTATATGGGGATCTGGCATAAAAGACACTACATATGACTCTTTCTAGTTAAGAACAGTTATTTTAAAATCTAAAACCACCATACAGGCATTTAAGCACAGTATAAAATAATTACAGCCCACAGAAATCTTAAGTGTTTTACGATGCAAATAAAAGTCTTTGGCACAAGAGCTTACAGTTGTTTTCCATAATATTTATAGGTTAAGCTAGTGTAAAACCAGATGTTACCACCATAGACTTTTTTTTAAGCTTGTAGGATACTTAACATGGTAGCATGATAGCAAAGAAGTGACTCAACTAATATTTAAGAAATCACTGTCAGAGTGTAAACAGCATAAGTAAAACTGCTTATTAATAGTTTGGGTTACTGTCCATAAAACAAAAATAAAAGAGCAGATTTACGTTGCAGATAAGCATTCTCTTTTGGATCCAGCTACACCAATGGCCAAATACCTGCCTGCCCAGACCTGCAGAAACAGCTCGGGCAGGCACACCCTATTAGGCTTCATGCAAAATCCGGTAAGTTATGAATTGATTAATTTATACCAGCTATCTGAGTCAATCCAGATGATTTTTCATGATGTGGCTCACCAGCCTTCTATAAAATTCCTTTTGCTAGCATACTGGTGGAGACGGCAACGAATAGCTGGGAGGAACAAAGCCTTTACCCCTTCCCCAGCAGCCACAACGCTTATCTGCTGCCTAGTGCAAGGTAACTGCTGTGAATCTGCTCCCTGCAGAGGCAAGGTGCTTTAGCCAAGAATCTCAAAATAAGTAACCAAACTTTGGCTATTGATAGCTGTGACCATAAAAACAAACAAACAAAGCACCAAGCACCACACAGTGCATTTGTTACACTATGGTCATAAAATAGTTAAAACATAACATGGCCAGAATAAACACCCGCAGCATCTCAAAATATGATTTGACTCCTAGTACACTCCTTACTATGAGGACTACAACTTATTCACCCCTGAAAATGAAATAAGAATTATAGTGTAAGTGTATAAATACACTAAAATAAAAATTAGAGGAAAAAAAGCATAAGAGTATCTTTCACTCATCCCTTCAGTTCTATAGATATAAAATCAATACAGATACTAAAAGAAAATTAAGAAACCATTAAAAAAAAAAAAAGAAAAAACACTTTCAGGAAAGCGTGGTAGCAGAGTTGAAAAACAGCAGGCTAGGAGGACCAAAACACAAGAAAGCTATGCTAAGCTTCCACGGAGATAGAAAACACCACAGCACTTTCAACAGCACTGCTTGGTTGCGAAAGTTGGCAATCCCCAATCTGCAAGGAAACGTATAAACTGATGAGGCTATTTAACAAAGAGCACATTTAAAAAAAAAAAAAAAAAAGCTGCCTACTCAATTTGGTCACTGCCCTTTGGCAACTAGAGTTTTAAAGATCCTTCTTTTTGGAATACTTCTGAGAACTTTGTTATAATTCACTACTTAAATGCTGGAGGTTTAAAAGGCTTTCTGGTAACAACTCAATTTTAAACCTTCAGATTACAGGTTTTCACACACTCTGCCAATGGAGTACATGTAGGAGGATAAAAATGCAGCATAAACACTTCTGATAGCTTTGTAGATGGTGCGTTAAACAATTGCTAACATTAAGACTTAGTCACAATATTCCTGTAATACAAATTATCATCTTCTTCCATATAGAAGAGGGAACTGAACACTACGACCCTGTGAAATACCCAAGAGAATTGTTTATGGCCATGATAGCAGCCAACAACTTCAGACCTCCTGAAATCCAGCACTGTACATTAATTAGTACACTGGTATAAACTATAACCTGAAATATCAATGTATATAGAAAATATAGCATATGATATTAATTACAAAAATAGCTATATATGAATAATAATAAATTAATGGATTTTGTTTCCAGACTGAAGCAAACTGAGGGAGAATCGAGAGAACAGGGTAAGAGAGAACATGAAAGACACTTAAGCCTAACGTAAGGTATTTAATCAAAAAAAGGCTTTTCCTAGTTTGCTGCATTTAATTTCAAAAGCCAAGAGCAAAGGAAGAGATTTGACATTTATTCCTTGACCCTCTTTCAAAAATAGAAATTTCTAGATAAAAGTTGATGTAAAAATCATCCTGCTCTATTACACCATCTTCCCTTGGCTGTAAGATCCTTCAGTCTTCTTTTACGCAGCCTCCGAAATGTACTTAAACTGATGATCCACCACATGGCATCAAATACCATTGTGATTAACTAGCATGCTAATGTTCCCCGGTATCATAAAGGCCAAGATTAGCCCCCCATGTATATAAGGTGAACTTCCCTGACCCGAAGGAAAAAGGAATCTCCATTAAACATGAAAGCAGTATCGTTACCTGTTTTATTAGTTAGAGCAGGAGGAATAAGGGCTCAGGAGCTTTATTGCCAAATGCCAGCTTTCTACATACTGTGTAGAAGTCAAAGCTTGCGGTACCCCAATTTCTTCATTGTTAAATTGTAGTAATATTTAGCAATCCATAGAAGTTGCAGTCATTAAACACAATGAAACACCATTCTAGACATTACTGGTTCCATTTGTACTCACTGGTGAAAGGCTGCCATTGTGTTTTCCAGGTTCTCTCCAGCACCTGCAAGAATAACAAAAACTAAAACATGCACTAAATCCTTATCCTCCATCTTAATCTCAGAGGAAATAAATTCAGAATTAATGGATTAAAAGTATACATACTTGGAAGAAATAGCTAGACCAATGAGTGGCCATTCAAGTGGCATGACTTTCTCGCGGTAATACAAATCCCAAAAAAAAAAAAAAAAGATTTATCTTGGGTTTCTGGATACATTTCTTTGAGTATACAAATCGGAGGTCAGGTACCCTGGCTTTGCTTAAAGGCTTTGTCTTTGGTTATGACAATATGTTCCACAGGCACAGGAACAGCATAAGTATGAGATGTATTTCAGAGGTAGCGAGAGGAGTAATGAGAGAAAAGATAACAGGGAAAAGAAAAAAAAAAAAAGTAGACTCTCTGAAGCTATTCCCTAAACGCATAACCCAGTTGATGCTCAAAGAGGTGAAGACCTCTTTTTTTTTTTTTTTTTTAAGTGCAAAAACACTTCCTGAAACAGCGTCAGTCAGTCAATAAAGGCTTATTCTGCTGGCAAAGACAGAACTCACATACAAGGAATGAAATGGACATTAACTTGAGCTAAGGCAAGGAGGGACAAACAAATTTAATTTTCTCTAGAACAGCAGTAAACTATGGCAAAACCTGCAACACATCACTCTCTACATATGGATCTTTGAAAATGAACCTGGTTAGGAGCTAGAAAGGGACGTACTCCCTCCCTCCCTCAGATCCAATATTATGCGCTGAAAAGAGAATAGCTTCAGGAAGATACACGTACTGGCGAAGACATCTATGCAGATTTTAGCTGCTCTATGGCAGTGACAAGTGACAGACTTCATAAACAACATTAATTATAGAAGCGCTAATAAGGCTTTGCCTATTAACAAAACCTACCAATATGCACTGATCTAAGTCTGTGATTAAAGCAATATAATGTTATACATGCACAATAAACAAATTAAATTTGCTGTTACCAGGTTAGATTGCATTGATAAGTTTACACAGAAAAACTTAACTAACTTGGAATCAAAATGACATCAAAATTACAAAAACTGTATGGTTTAACATATGGTTAATCCACAGTAACTTCTGTGATTAGACAGTCACCACTATTTTAGGGGACTTCATAGCAGAATTAGCAAATTTGATAGGCTGAGTGGTAAAAGTGACCTAGGGCTAGAGAAGAGCACGAGAATCTCCTCATGTAGTACCAATGACCACCCAACAGATAGAAAAACCTGCACAGGACCTGGATGATAAGTCATAAGTTATCTAAAACTTCAATTTTTATTGCACTTAAATTATCAACTGTGATAACACAGTCAATATACCCTGAACCATAACACAGGGAAAATAGAGAGTCAATCTTCAATTTGTGAACAAAACAATATCCTTATATTTCTGGGCAGAAATTTCAAAAAAAAAAAAACAAAACAAGATGACTGCAGCAAGCAACATGTCATGCACATAGGTATGGTGACTCAAACCAGCTGGTAACAGAAAGACTGACTTGTAGTGCTTTTGGGAAATGGGAAAAAAGTTGAGATCAGCTGAAACAGGAGTTCTAAATCAGCAACATGGCCTCCACAAACCATATTCAGAAAAGGGAACTACAACAAGCAAGTGAAGTGGATGTACTGAATCATTTTCCTTCCTTCGAAAGAAAAAGGCTGGGCTTATTTAAGGCCTTTTGATATTTTATTTACTCAGATGCATCTCCAAGTTCACGTATTGTTTATTTGCTTTGTGAACTACATACGTTTCCCAAGGTCTCAAGACAAAAGAATAAAACTAAAAAAAAATCACCTTCCTTAGCATGCTTTAGCATCCTGCAAGCTGAAGCAGCCACATTCAAGCATTACAGTTGCACGCTCTAATTTTGAAAGTACTACCATGGAATAAAAGGGACTCAAACTCAAGCACCAGCTCAAAGAAAAGGCCCCATAGAGTTCTGGTTTTTTTCCCCATGGAAGCAAAGGCCAACAGGATCCTGAGCTACCTTAGGAAGACTGTTGCCAGCAGGTCAAAGGAAGGAGATTCCTCCTCTTTACTCGGCACCGGTAGGACCACATCTGGAGCCCTGTGTCCAGTTCTGGGTTCCCCAACAGGAAAGACAAATGGCCATAATGGAGGAAGTCTAATGAAGGCCTCGAAGATTAAAGGATTAGAGCATGTGACATACAAGAAGAGATCAAGAGAGCTGGGATTTAATCTGGAGAAGAGAAGGATCCTCATGGAGGATCTTATCAAAGCATATAAATACCTGATGAGAGGGGGTAAAGATGACAAAGCCAGATTCTTCTCATTAGCACCTAGTGAAAGGACATGAGGCAATAGGTACAAGTTGAAATACTGGGAATTCGTTTTAAACATTAAAAAAAGGGTTTTTTTGTTTGTTTGTTTGTTTTTTACTGTGAGGGTGATCAAACAATGGAACAGGCTGCCCAGAGATGTTGTAAACCTTTGTTCTCTGAAACATTCAAAACCCAACTGGACAAGGTCCCAAGCAACCTGCTCTATGGGGGCAGGGAGGACTAGATGATCTCCAGAAGTCCCTTCCACCCTCAACTATTCAACCATTCAGTAATTCTGTAACAGTCAAAGAAATAAATGCCATTAGAAAGCATACCTTATTAACAACATACAGACTGGATATATACACTTATTCTTTGTTTGATAATGCTACCCTCTTTCAAAAGACTCAGCAATCTGGTCCATACAGCTAGTATACATAGAGTATTCTATAGCACAGAATATCAAGACTTAATAACTGATCTCAGAAATGACCAACTTATAATTTTAAAACAATGTAGAAGTGAAGCAACAATTCAGGAATGTTTCCACAGAAGAGCTATAAACTGAGATAAGAAAATTCTTGCATTAGAAGAGAAGCAAAACCAAAACCCACAGACTTGAGAGATTTCACATATAAAGCTGCATCTCAGAGCAGAGAAAGCCAAACAAGTACCATCTTGATCTCTGAAGCTGATAGGATCATGCAATAGGAAACCTGACACTGCATGGAAAGCTACAGCAGGGCTAAAGCCTGAAAATTAAGTCCCAAAGGAATTGAAGTTACAAAGTAAATACTACAGTGAGTAAAAAGTAAATGAGCTTCAATCTCATAGTACCTGATGAGCAAAAAACTGCTAAGATGTTATTTAAGGGTTGTAGTACTACTCTAGATGAACTTCACAGTGTATATGCAAACAAAGAGCAATTCAAAGACTGGACTTGTCTTGCAATGCCTAAGGAATAAATCATCCCATTCAGTAAGGCTTTTTTTTGTTATTTTAGTAGTACTTGGTGCAAATAGCTTAAAAGCTCCCATCCTAGGCTTAGGAATATGCATCTTAACTAATGTCATCACAAAAAAAGTGAGAACAAACAAAGACTAAAGAGCTTATACTAGATTCTGACAAAATCATTGGCAAGTTTTTAAAAGTTTGTAAATTAATAAAGAAAAAGTTAACAAAAGTCTGTAAATTAAAGTATTTACCAGGAAACAGCCAATATATACTTTCCAAACAAAAAGGTGTAGTGTAAGTAGTAAAACCTTTAGAGATCAGCTGTTTTTTTGTATTTTAATAATTCAAGGCAATTACAGAATAAGGACAAGTGGCTCGCACTGTGATCAAATACTACATAAACATAGATACAACATTGTTAAAATTGTTAAAACCACGCATCTTCAACATTTACGACAAGATATTTACTGGAAAAATGACTGACAATATTTTCATGAATTGGGTAGGGCAGCAGGGAAAAGGAAAGAACTGTCCTTCACCAGCACAGAACAGGACACGTAAGACTTGCCATATTTGCTTCCTCCCAGTGCTTTAGACAAAGTAAAAGAAACTTTAAAAATATCTTTCCACGATGATGGGAAGCAACCAGACTACTCACAAGGCCTTGGAACAAGCGTAAGGGGTGGGGGGTGAGATTCAAATAACTGGCATCAGATTTACCACGGTACTAAACCATTAACTGTTTCTAACAGTAAGGGGAGCAAGAAGCAAATCATAGCAAATTCCATTTCTTCTGAATCGAGAAAGTAACTACAAATACTAGACACCTTGTACACCACTTATGAGTGGTGTACACGCATCTCCTCTTGGACGCAGTACAAGTCTCGTGCTAACATAAGAGAACAAGAAGAGAACATCACTGATGACTTCCTAAATAAAAAAAGACTTCTTACAGCAGCTATAGGTAGCAGTTTTTCTAAGAAACAAAAACAACACTCTTCAGTTAGGTTATAAAACCTTTTCTTCTTCTTGCATTCAGAAAGGTCTTGTTATGCCTTTAAAATTGAAAGGGCACCTTATTCAACAGCCTGCAATAGTTTACTTCAAAAAAGAGAACACCCCTACTATTTTGACTCCCAATTTGTCTTTTTCTAATCATATGATGGTATTTGCACTTAACCCTTTTTTCTTAAGGGCATCCAGAGCTACGGACATATAAAACTAATCTAATTCTGAGAAACTTTTAGAGTTTTTATTACAAACAGAACCACAAACTAGGTGCTTATTTACAGCTTGCGCCACATAACTCTACACCTTATCTTCTGCTATGGAACTTTTTGACCAGAGCCAGCTTCCTAGTCAAGCTCGAAACCGTGTTTTTGTGTATAATCTTTTCACAGTCAAATGTCCTAGGAACCCAGCACCCGAGGAGAGTGCTGGGACAAGCCTAGCCCTCTGCAAGCAACACCAGCCAGCTGTCTCGATACCTTCATGAGCATCTTCAGAGCTGCTGAGAGGGTCGCCCATCCCTGCCCCTGCCCTCTTGCTCCAAGATCTCCCTCTTCTGCTGGCTGCAAAGCAAAGGGCAAGACTAGAGCTGAAAGCAATCAAGTATCCCAAGCACATCATGAATCAGTAGAAGAACTAGAGGCGAGAAGATTGATCTCTGGACCAGCTCTAAACA